GCATTCCTGGGGGAGCTCAGACATACTTGTATGTATTTCTGGGATCCGTGATCTTCAGAACAAACACGGGAGGGTTTGAGAGATGCCGAGGAACTTGGGGTGTTTTGGAGGCCGAGATGAATGTTAGAGGCAGTAAGTTTTGTTCTTCCAAAAACCAGTGTTACCTGTTTGTTCTCGTGTGAGGCAGGTGTGCTGCAAATTTGTGATATTAAAGTCATCATGACGGGACTGTGCTGAAATCCCATTTCCTTTGCAAGTGTGTTAGCAGCCCAAGCTCTCCTGCAGCTGGCATCATCAAACGACGATCAGCCCATCAGTGGGCTTTTTTCCCTCATGAAAATTCCATGCAACGATCTTGTGGCAGCTTTTTCAACATGGTGATGATACTACTGGTGTGGGTAGTGCTGTGTCTCAGGGCATTGGTCTCAAACTGTCTTCTCATCCTTCAGGTAGTTTTGGGGTGAGCAGAGCCGTCGGGGGAGCTTGCAGTGCTGCAGCTGCACCTAATCTGTGTTATAGGTTTCTGGCTTCTAAAACAAAATGCTCATGACTGCAACTGTTTTAATCAAAAAGAAAAATAGAAGTGACTCCGCTGTTTCTACGTACTTGTTCTCTAACAGCCCGAATGCTGCCAGCAGCCGGGACGGCCTCGACAATGAAACGGGAACGGAGTCTGTTATTAGCCACCGGCGAGACAGGCATCGACGGAGAAATAGAGAAGGACATGAGGATGGTGAGTCCTGTTTCATTTTTCCCCTTTTTTATTTAGAAAGAACAATTTTTCTGGTAATCGTCTAGAGCAGCAGCTACTTTTGTAGGAATACTGCAGAAGAGAAGTGTGTCTGCATTCTTGCGTGCTTTCAGGGACTATTATTTTAATGGAACCATTTGGTAATTGCTTTGAAACTCTTTGAAGCTCAGTGTTTTCTAAGAGGTCTGGACAATCCTACAGTAGAGTGGCAGAGAGATTCTTTTTGACAACATGCAGACTTTTCTGTAGGAGTAGAAGATGATTGGCTTGGAGAGGAGGAACAACCCCCAGTGTTGAGTTCCATACTGCCGTGACTAGGTTGCCTCCATTATTCAAGTTTGCTCATATAAAGGTAGAACATATTATCTGTAAGATGTGTGGGGAGTTTGCAGTGTAGACAGTTTGAGAGTACTGTATTTGACATTGCAAGATCTAAGCCAAAATCCTCTGAAATAATTTCTGTTGATTTCTCTAGGCTTGAATCACTGTTTTATACAACTTTTTTTATACATAAATACACGTATAAATTACAGAATTTCATCTCTTGCCTCTAGTCTGTACATCAAAGTAAGCTTGGTTTTTTCATTTGTTGCCAGACAAGTATTTCCAGGCATAATTAAGAATTAATAGGTGCCACCCATTGAGTTTAAAATGGTTCAGAATATGGAATACTTGGGCCCAAGAGATGCCATCGCAGGATTTATTCGCAGCTCCACCCACTAAAGTATTTGCCTCCAGTTAGAAAACCAGAGTCACACACAAACATATATATATATGTGTATGCATACTTATATATATATTTATACTCTGGGTTGGAAGCAGTTATCTTGCTGTTCATTTAACGCTTCCAGCTTATAACTGACTCCAAAATGCTCTGTTCAGTGCTGTTTTCCCCTTCCCTTTGCAGGACAAGGGCAGAGGAAGGGCTGCAAGGTTGTGACACCTGGTTCAGAGCTATTTTCGGGGCAGAAGCTCCTAAAATGTGCTCACTTGTCATTATGGAATAGTGGTAAATCCTCCTTTCCCTGCAGAAAGAAGGAAATGCAGTTAGCGTGTTTGATCTCGTGCTGTACAGACTTGTTTAAATAATACCAAAATTACAGCTCTGGTTGTCCACAGAGAGGCAGGTCGAGGGATCTTCACTGGAGCGCTGTGTTACTCATAGGTTTGTTCCGTAGGTGTTATTATGCAGAGTAGCCAAGACACACAAACATAACGAAACTCCCTCGTTCGTCAGTTGCTTTTGAAGGTCTGTGATATGAGCACCAGGAAAATCATAAGGGAAACTAACCTGGAAAAGTAAAAAACGTGTTTATAATTTTCTTGGTGAAAGGTCTGCCAGAGATAGGAAGAAAAATGAGAAGGCATGTGGTTTCAAAAAAATAATCATCATGGATCTTACTATAGTTAAAAGAGAGGAGGAACTTGCTACTGGTTTTAATCTGTCCTGTGCTGATGCGTAGAAGCCTCTCTCGGGTAGCGCTGTGGCCGCAGGGAACAGAAGTGACTCAGCTGCACAAATTCTGCCTGACACGAGTTTTCCTTTCCAATGGAGAAGGGGGAAGGCTGACCAGAGAGGCAGTCAGGAGCACATCTGTAATTTCCTTCCTTACCCACTGCAGATGTGCAAACACACCTCAGCAGAGCCAGCTCCCAGCCTCGTCAGCCGTGGAACACTCTTTGTTTTGTTGTTGGCTTTTTCATCGCTTAAGCAGCTGCTTAACTTTAAGGTAGTATGCTTAAACCTGCATGATTTTGGTCAACCACAATTATGCAGTTAAAGTATGCGCTCAAGTTGTGTGTTGAGCTGAGTGCCTCGGACGTCCTGGGAGAAGCTGCTTTCTGGATTTTGCTCCTAGACCTGATTTACGACTGGGTGAAGTCTAAGGGAAGCTGTATTTACACTTGGGTCGTTCCTCTGCCTGAGTTTAGGTTGTTTGTGCACCAGCCTGTTCCCTGTAGCAAGAGCACTTGTTTGTAGGGTCTTCATCTTACTCTTTTCATCTTACTCTGTTCCTTTTCAGCGATTCCTAGCAGACTGTTCCCTGCTAGTGGGAACCGGAGCGGTGCGTGGTGTCACCTGTGCAAAACTCTCATCCACAAATGCTCAGTAAAGCTGGGGGAACGAGGAAGGATCAACAAGCAGAGATGCAGTTTTTCTCCAGGGAATTGCCCGGGTTTAAATTCGCTGTATTATTCTCATGCTTCCAGCATGAAGTTTCACACTAGTGCAAGGTTTTACGTGGTACTTAGTGAGGTTAATAAAGTGAACTAGCAAGGAAAGATGGGCCCTGTGAGGTAAGCGTGGACAAAGTTACCTTCTCTGTGTGCGTGTATATATTTGAAGGTATTAATAATGGTTATATTGTGGAGGCTACATATGCAGAGAACTTTAAATTTCTTCTTTTCGAGCAGCTTTGTCTCCAGAGAGGCTTTTGTGGGAATACGTCTTTTGTTGATCACCCTTCACACTAATTAGTAGCAGATCTATCCTTGACATGAGCTTCATATAAAATTAGTCTGAAAGAGTTGAGCTGTCATTATGTCAGAGCTCCGCTTTCCCTCTTAAAGCAACCAAAGTCCTTGTTGTTTTGGAAAGTTGACAAAGTCCTATTACGTGCAAGTAGAGTTGAGGATCTTAATTAGAAATGTGGGAGGTCTGCCTGGCACATGTTCCGGGGACCCCTCGCTCTCTCGAACAAAGCCCCCATGGCAGTTTCCTGAGGAGGAGTGGGAAGAGGGGACCGTGGAAGCTCTAATTAGGGAGGTAATTAAGGGACAAGTTTTCCTTGGCGTTGGAGAATGTTTTACAGCTACTGCTCAGTTTCTGACAAGTCTGCAGATGTCAAGTGTCGACACCAGTGTTTCAACACTGGCTTTGCTGTGGGCTGAGCTTAACTATGTTGCAGCCAGCTGCAAAATGCTGGATAATGACGTGTGCTTCGAGAAGCGCTTAATGGGAGCACATTTATAGGTCCCCAAATGTTTGGGAAGAGGAGCTGTTGAAGATTTCCAGTCGTCGCTGCAGTATATGTGTTCTCCACTGTAGGGCGTGCCAAGGAATCTGAACTAAAAGGACTGGGACTATAAACCAGCTGCAGTGGGAACTTTAAGAGTGGGAGCTGAAAATACAGTTCTCAGCAATTGTTGCTCTTTAGAGACTGTCACATAGGAACAACTGAGAGGTTGTTGGGGACCCCCTGAAGTTTTGAAGTGACCTGGTGGCCCCGCGTGGGGTCCTGGCAGCGCAGGACTGGGCGAGCAGGAACGTTGTTACTTGTCGTAATCTGTCCGTGGCAACATCTAGAAGCCTTTCTCTGGGAGCACCGTAGAGCGAGCCAAAAGGCTGCTTAAGGGTTCCAAGGAGTTTCAAACCCAAGTTGGGGTGCAGGGCTGTGGCACGCAGGTGGGTGTGAGCACACAGCAGGAGCGGACACTGTGATACTCATCGTTCTGCCCCGCTTCGCAGAGCGGAGACCCTTAACTGCTGAGCGGCACGGAGGAGCTTGCAAGAGTTCGTGGAAGAAGTGGTGACACGTTTCCTGTTAGTAACTGGTGAAGGCTTTCTGCATTGGCGGGGACTGGAAGCTCTCTTGTTTTTTCTCTGAACTGGGAGCTTGGCCGTGGCTTCTTCCTGAGACACCCTCACCTTTATTCTCTGCGTGTCACAGAACCCTCTCGACAGCTTCCTTGAGCAGATTCTGCTCCGCTCTTTTTCACTTTCAAGGCTCACTTGCTTTATTACTTTGATGTGCCTTTGTCCCTCAGGCAGGGCCTACTCTGCTGTTGATAAAAGCCAAGGAGGACATATTTTAACCTCCTAGGCTACGCTTTATTCTAATCTCTGTGACACATTGAAAAGCTTTTGTCAGACAGTCTCGGGGAACGTTGTCATCCTCTAATGAAGAAACAAGAGGAGGGGATTGGCAGGGCAGAAAGTCCCTGGGTATTAATGGGACAGTCATTGAACCAGAACAGAGAATGATTCTTGTTTAGACCTAGGACTTGGGCACTTGAGAATATTTTATGAATAGAACCCTTGCAGTCATGGTTCGTGAAAGTATTCGCTCAATTCTACTAATGGCTCCCAACGCCCACACTTCAGACAATGTTGGCTAAACTAGAAAGACTTAGAAAAGTGAATTTTAATTCGGTAGAGAGACTACAAAAAATTTATGCGTTTAAGTGCACACTTTAATTCCATAGGAAGCCTTTCCTGTGAATTCAAGGCTACCTGGTGCTGTTTGGGATGTATAAAACATGGTTAAAATTGAAGTGTAGATGCACACCGATAAAGTCACTTTTATCTATGGAAGCAGTGCATAGGAGCACCGTGCCAGTGCAGCGTCTGTTCCTTCCCCATCAGCAGAAAGGGATGGGAAAGAACAAAGTTTTTGTTTGCTTATTCTTTCTAGTGGGTCTCCTGAACCTGCAAGACAACCCTAAAACACATGCTTTGTGTTTTCTGTGTATGCTGGAACCACAGTGCTCTGCAGCTCCACATCCCCAAATCCCTCAAGGATCCTCCTGCAGAGTTGTCGGCAGCTGTCGGTGTGAACGTTGTCCTGCTCACGGTGCCGAAGCTCTTTTGTTCACCTACTAATACTCCATTTATCCTGTTTTTAAAGTCCCCCGGATCAATGGCCACCCGAAACTGGACAGACACCGCGAGCACCCTCCCGGTTATGACAGCGCTTCTACCATGCTGAGCAGTGAGCTGGAATCCAGCAGCTTCATTGACTCCGAGGACGATGACAACACGAGCAGGTAGGGCATTGGCAGAGTGACTGAGCTGGTAAATACTGTTTGCATTTGTTTCCCAGCCACTTCACTGTGTTTCTTGGCTTTCCTGAAACATCCTGACCGGGGAGATGAGAAGATTTATGTCTTCTTTTCCTTCTTCTTTCTTATCCCCAACTAAATTTTTTTTTTAATTTTTCTTTCCTTCCATTCTTCTTCTTGCTACATATGATTGGAGCACCGATAACTCGTCAGTAACATGTTGCATATAATCACTGCTCTGAGGAAAGGTTTTGGGGTTGCTCTCCAAGCTGTCTATAGCCACCGTTCCACTTAAGAGAAAAATTCTGTTTCTGTTCTTTCCTTTTAATAGCAGGGATGATCATGTTTTAAGATCAAAGCAACGTGCAACTGTCTGCCTGTTTATAAAGTAATGGTGTCAATATTGTACCAAAACACCTTCAGCATAGAGTCCTAATAAGTACGTACTTCGCTGAAGCTGAATTGTAAAGGAATTCCTGTGTAATTGCATAGTCTGAGACCTGTGACCATGCAGGAATTCATCAATGTTAATACTATTGCAAGGGCAGGTTGTGATGACTTCTTCATTATTTTTTCATTTTTGTGCACACAGAATATGTGTTATCCTTTGCTCTTTGCAAAAAAAGTTCTCCATTTCAAGACATGCTTGTTAATCTCTAAAGATATTTTTGTTTTTCCTTAAAAGGTTTATAAGCCGGTACATTTGTCGCATGTAAAATCGATTAAAACTAATATTCTTGCCTTTCCTGGCTGCAGTGGCAGCGTTCTCTGAGTACTGTCTCTAGAGCTGTTGTTCATCCAAATGAGCTGTGAAAACCCGTTTTGTATTTCTGTTAATTGTCAGAGAATGAGAAGATTACAGATCTCTGGTGGTTTATAGAGATCTCTGGCTAAGACAAATAAGATGCAACATGATATTCTTGAGTTCTAGGTAGAATGGAAACAGCAAAGAACAACTGGTCCTGGAGATACTCAAACATTTGCTGGGTTTTGAAATGGATTATTCGTGTATTGAACTCACTGGATCTATTTGGTCTTGCAGATAGTCGTAGCTTAAAAACCTGTTGAAGAAGAGTAGTTCCTTGAATCTCTGCTTAGAGTCATGAGTGCTTCCAAAAGATTGAAAGGGTAACTAAAGGAACATTTAAGATTTGGTCATGAATCAGTTTCAAGAGCTTCTTTTGCAGTTGGAGTGATGTTGCCAACACCTGAAGATACAAAAAATTGGCCTTTTGGATGCTTTGTACTTCACCTGGGGATTCATGCGCATAAAGGCTTGGCAAGATCAGTAGTTAACCTGGATGTACTCTAAGCCTTCCTAAAGCCTTTGGGGCTTCTAACCCTCCCTAAAAAGTCAAACCCACAAAAACAACAACCGCCCTGCAGCTGATTTTGTTTCCTGTAAATGAATTAATCATCTCCATGGCAGCCAGATACGCGGCAGGGCAGGATTAGCACAGCGAGGGTGGCCGCTGAAGCACATTCAACTAGACCCGACTAAATCTTTCTGTATTAATAAAGTAAAGCTTCCTGCGTCCGACCTGAGAAGAAAGAGACTCTGTGAAGCTGCTGCGCAGGCCTTTTCCTTTCTAGGTGAGGGCAGAAGCTTTTGGCACGCAGAATAGCTGCCAGGCCAGCTAGGCAGGAAGAACGAGTGAATGGAATGCTCCAAGGTATGCTCTTGCGTTACGGGGATGATGATGTTCTCCGGCAGATGAGGGATTGTGCTGGCAGGGAGAAGTTTTCTTCAGAGGCAGATAGAGCCAAACAGAACATCAAGCATGCTCCAGATCTGCTGGAGAGAGCGGCCTGGGGAAAAAGAGGTTTGAAGGGGTGAGTCTGTTTAGTAACAGCTGATGAACCGTGGCGTCAGAACCTGCGCTGTAAAGGAGATTGTACATGGAAGGAAGAGATGGGATGCGAAGGATCTTACGGAATCAGAAGTGAAGAAGTTGTAAGGTTGAGGATGCTTTTCTAGCAGTGGGTGTTTGTATTGGTTTATTTGGTTTTTAACTTGGAGCAGCGCAGCCGAGTTGCTTTGTTTCCAGTCCGGGAAGTTCTGTTACATTTAGAGAGAAATAGTATCTTTTTGGCTTAGTGAATTCATTTGTTTGCAGATTTTAGAGGGCAGTAGAGAACCCTTCAAGTAGTGTGGGTGCAGTGCTTTATTTCCTTTGTTTTCAAAGTATGATATAATTGAAGGTCAGTGTTATTTGCAGGTAGTATGTGGTATTTTGAGTACAGATGGCTATAGAAAGATCATGGTGAACTTTACAGTAGGAGTCTTTTTTCTGTCTTCTGTTAAGCAAATGAAGGTCTAGCAGATATGACATCTGTAGCTGCAGGATTATTGTCACCAACTTGCCATTAGTATTCTCAATTCAACGTAACTAAAATAATTCACTGCAAAAAATGGATTATGTGTATTTCTCATTTAAGAAATGAACAGTAGTTCTTTTTAAACTGTATGGATAAGCTTTCTTTAACAAATTATTACTTTTTTTCCCGTCCTTTAGGGAATGTGGATTGGAAAAATTATTACTATTTTTTAAAAAAATCTCTGTGAGGTTTATTAGCCTTTCTGTCAGAAATGCAGTCAGGGTTTGGGCCGTTTGCTAGTGCAGGAAGTTGGTAGTTATGGTTCCAGGTTTGTTTTTCATCTTTGCACTTCATTTTTCCCAAAAGCTCAAATAAGCCATCTTGTTTTGCTCATCACATTGTAATAATATCTTTTAGCCATTTCTGGGGATACTTTGGAGATCAAAACGTTACTCCTCGTTAGACTAGATTAGAATTGCTATTCAGCATCCCGATGGTCCTAGAACGTGAGATGTGCAGTGTTGAGGGATGGTTCAGCAAGGATGCATTAAGGCTGTGGATTTTGGAAGTTACAGGTTTGGAAATTACAAGAAGAGACGAAGAAGTGTGCCGTAGCTGCACGAAAACAGATACAGAGGAGGTAGAGCCTCAGGTGCTGTGAGCTGTTTCCACAGATCGAGCATTATCACATTTTTGATCTCTTTTGAAAATACCACCTCTTGGCTCTCCAAATTAATTTGCCTTACTGGGAGGGGAGAGAGGAGCGTGTGAGGTTAACATGCCTGAAATAGTTCTGTGAGCTCAAAGGCAGTGTCGGGCGATTCCTGCCCGCTGAGCGGTTCCATTGTCTGTGATGCTCAGCCCGGCTAAAACCAACCCGGGACAGGGTGGGTTTCCCGGTGGGCTGGGCTGTAACCTCGTGCCAGCAAACTCCTTTTTGAAGTCGCTGGTACTGAGTTTTGCTTTAGGTGTTCTGGCATTCCT